GTTCTCTCGTAAGCTGTTGCTCGATAGCAGTTCCGATAAGTTCGATCAGGACTTTTATGCCACAAAGCCTATGAGAAGTGTGAAATGCTTGCTTCTTTTTAAAATGTATGTTAACTTTATGAGATGAGATGCAATGTCCTTACTAATAACCCTTTTAATATTGAGATAGAACAGCAGCGTCGCCCACACTGCTCAAACTGCTGGTATACCATTGGCTTTCAAAGCGACATTAAACGTCTAAAGCCTTTTCTTCCTATTATAGCACAGGTATTACTTATGTGTGTAGCGTTTAAGAGCTTTCTTAGTGGAGCTACTTAACAAATGGGGTTTTCCCTAAACGACGATACCAACATGCTCACAGGATCTACTCACCAGAAACCTTATTTTCATTTCCGGTTCGTTTAAATGATTTGCTAATGAGTACGGGTTTCCCGACGACAAGTTCCAACTGAGCCTTTTTGAGAATCATAGAAGACCGCTACAATATAAGCTTGATCAACAATACATGCGTGTTCCTTTTTACTGTACAAAGATTTTGTTTACATTACCGAGGTATATTACATATGAGGCACAGGCGCACAATCCGCTCATGACGATAAAATTCATTAATGATACAACTCTGGGGTGTTGCATTTCTTTCCTATTGCTGTAACTCTATAGATAGTTCCGCTAAAACGAATATACAGAGGTCTGTTTTATTTCGTTTTATCATCTCCGGTGTATCAAACGTATGCGTTTGCGTCAGTATAGATGTGTTATACGATAGATTTTTGAAACAGCCGAACTCGACCCTCGATAGCAGCAGATTCTTTTTTATCACTTTAGAACTTGATGTAGCAAATGAAGCCTATCTTTTTTGGTTGATGGCAACAGTAGCTTGGTTCTCTCATTGTTTCTACTAGCGTTGCTCCCAGAAATCGCATTATCGTCTCGAACACTTCGTCTAATCTTCTATTCCCTTTGCCATAATCTCGTCAGGCGGATTATTCGGGTGCCGTAGGGCCCATGGCCTAACTCTGAAGAGCGGATCTCGAATACTACCAGTTCATATGAAATCCAATCGGCTTCAGTCATTTTAGGTAGAATGTTGTTTGGTATAATGTTTGCTAACGCTTCAAGAATATGTGCCGGTACCACTTAGTTGATATATTGATGAAATCCCTAAAACAACGTGGTCGATTTGTTTCGTAGATGTTGAAAAATATACTGCTTGGATGTTAATATCACACACTAATAGAACAATTTCTACGCTAAGTAAATTCAATAACTTGTAATATAATGGTGAATGTAGATGTCAGAATTATTTTGCAATAATGGTAATGACAATTATATGAAAATAGATCGTGTTTTTTTACTCTATCTTATCCAGCACGCTTCCAGCCAGCATTGTTAGTTCTAAATGTTATCAGTTGGTAAGAGGTGATCGTAACAAAAACAAGTATTTTCGCATAATAGTACTCAGGTGTTAAATGTTTAGTTCGGTGCCTACTTTTTGCAGCCCTTTCCTAAAAACATTTCTCCATTGCTATAATAAAAAATCTCTGCCAGCTATGAGTTCTAAGCGATCTCGCCTTTGACCGCGAAGTCACCATGAAATGACCTGCTTAGTTCGCCTAATCCTTATTCGCTAAGGGCAATACCCATTAGGACTAAAAAGGATTTTTAGAAGCGAAGGTATAAAGGAGCTACACATTGTGTAGTTGTAAGTCTCCCTCTTCTATTTTTCCCGTCTAACAACCTGGCACATTTTTTGTCGTTCTAGGAACTGGCTGTTATGTTAGCCTATAGGTTTATGTCGATGGCGTAACATACTCTGAGCAAACCTATACGGCCTGCGTTTGTAAGCTTGGTTATCATCCTAAAATGTGAATATTTGCGGAAACGGCAGTAAGCACAGTTAACTATTGGCTGGCAGCAAAGTTTGGCTGATGTTGCTTGGTGTTCTTCTTCATACAATCAGGGTATCCGTTCTCCCTGCATAACGCGTTCGTAGGATCCGGATGTGCTCGTAGCTTTTCTCAGATATGCTGCCTGACAGTGATCCTAAATCTAGGAGAACCACGTTTTCCCTAAATAGTCAAATAAAGTCATCCGTTATACTGATTAAAGTGTTTAATTACTACTACTGCCGCTTTTCTTTCTCACACAAAACATATATACACATATTTACGTAAATATACGCTTGGTGTGGCATTACGTGCTTAGACATATCTGAATATAGGAACGGCCCTATTGCGGTGTCTTCAGCAACAACACAGCCAGTAGCTGAAGGGCATTCTGATAAACTAATCTTATTGTTCTCCCGGGAATCAATAATGCTAATCAATAGATGTACTCAGCGCTTTTCGCTATGTTCCACTCCAGCTAGTCATCGTATCACTGCATTTCATTGGCCCATTAAGTGTTGCGGAACGCGTACAGTTATATACAGATATCCCCTTCTACATCTTGGCCTGGGTGTGTACGCATGTGTGTATTTCGCGTCCGCGGACTCTTACCATAACATCGTCGAAATGCTGTTTACCTCCGTTCCAAAGTGGCCTCATTTGTTGGCTGGCCTGGCGTCAACGCCTGGCTAGCTCATGTTGTTTTCGTCGTTGTGGAACAGAACCATCAATGCGCGCCGTGAATAGTTCGCCCAATTCAACTTGTCTAACGTATGGCATGTTAAATAGAAGATAGACGCAGGAATTTGTTATCGGCCATGGGATTGCAGGTGGCTAGTAGCAACTTGGCTACACTATTTGTGCCCAATCTAGCTAAACTACCGCCGAGTGGTGCTTAGTCATGACCAGATAGGTAGATGATTGGGTGGGGTTACAAAGCTTGACCTGCCTTCATTTGGATACGTCACTGCTGACGCTCGCCAAGGCAGGGCCATCCGCCTGCATTAGCACCACCGAATTCATCGTCAGTGACTGGATGTCCGCCCCTTATCGCTTGGGTGCTCAACAAGAGCGATTCGAGCATCTACGAAACCACTACCATGGAATACAGCTAAGTGCCATCATATAACAGTAATAGCATGATGTGACCGTGCTTAGTCGAAACAATGACAAAAGCTATATAACATGCTTGTTGTACGCATGTCACCATAGAATTATCTGCTTCTCTGGTACAGTCACGCTTGGACAAGGACTCACACGTCTATGCCTGACTACATGTAACAGTAGAAGCAGGTATATAATTATGAAGCTTCTGCCAACTTTTGTCGATGAATGAATTGTTTTGAAAAATCAGGTCAAAGTTTTAGGTTTTTCATTGCAGACCTCTGCCCCTGTTTCGAGCAGACTATGTAGACTACAAAAAACGTATACCAACCTATTAGTACTGGACCAACTTAGGAGTTTTCAGGTAAAAAAAAAACTGTATAAGAAGCAGTGATACGCCCGCTTCGTCCTGCAAAATGGCGATTCCGCCGTTTGACTTAGCCTTCCGGCCCTATGTGTTTTTATTTGATTTCGTTTTAGCTTTTGGGCTTCACCGGTTAAAGCGTTCGCTTGGTGAGCGATGCTGTCCTTTGTCGCTGGCGAGTGCCCTTCTCGCTATTTGAAATCCCGTGTTCCGCGTTTGCAAGCCAGAATCTTATGCGCGAAACCAAGATGAACCTTCAAACAACTAAGGGCAACAGCTAGTCGAGCTACATTCACCCGAGTGGTTACGCGTTTGCAAGAGCATTTCCCTGTCCAAACAAAAATTGCCCTGTGTATTAACGGTTACGCTTTCTGACCTAGCAATACTGTCTTCTACCTATCCTTACCTCCTGCTACCGTTGGGACAAACTTTGGCATCGATTTACTGCTCCAGCGCCGTTTACCACAGTCGCAAGCAGCACCATTTCCGCCATCAGCCTTCGAAATGCAAAGGTAGATCCTCCACAATTCGGACTAACTTTGTAACGATACCTTCGCTTTTGCCGGCTGTTGCAGGTCTAAGGCCCCTCGGTGACTATTGGGCGAGGCATCTGTGATCCATAAGAAAACTGGCGAAAGGACTGTTTTCTGTTCTAATGCAACATTCTCCGAATGACGGTAGAAGCATGCAGGGGTCAGAAAAAGAGATTTTGTACAAGATATAAACTACCTCCAAACAGCTGCTTATAGAGTGGGGGGAAAAGGCAACAAACAGCAAAGGTTACGTGGTGAACGCATAACGTATGCGTTTTTTTTACTTAGTCAAGGTCAAAGTGGACATACGACTACACTATTCGTTGTTATCATATATATCGAAGCATGCATAATCAATATGGTTTTATTTAGCTCTATAGCTTGTATCCTATTTAATTTTGACCAGCTGTCTTAGATCACTACCAATGCGTCACTTCGAGCGCCCCATATCTTACTGATTAATTTAGGGTTAGCTGAAATTGGTACGCTAGGTAAATTGCTGCTTGAGCTTATGACGGCCAAGCTCACAATGCAGAGGTGACTCAATAGTTTGTCCGCAAACTCCTATTTTATACATCCTTAACGTGAAACTCCAATTTCACGCCAAATTACTCTCAGAAGTAGCTATATCGCCTGTACAATCACTATTGTAACATTGATCTACCGTAAAAAACAGAAGAGGAACAAATAATACAGTCATATATGAGATGGCGTATGAGGAGATGTACGCTAATATCCCATGGGTTTGCTATTGCTTATAGGATCGATACACGCAATACAATTGGACATTTTGAGCTCGTTCCACCGTGTGGAACCAAAAAGATCCTCATCGCTCTTGGGGTGGATTACGCTTGAAGGATATAGGTAGCAGAATCTACAAATGCTGTCTCTAGAGGTGCGCCATCCGGTTTTGGCCGCTCTCGTTTTATCTCTTTACCTGACAGCATTCGCTCCACGATCCCGCAGAGTCTGAAATGAGCAGCAATGCTCCGCTTCGATGCGCTTACTGCCCTCGCCTGCTTTGCGCTGACGTCGTCGTCGCGCTTCAAAGATTTTTGCCCGTTTCCGCCACGACTACTCAAGCTAAAGTCGCAATGACGGACCAACCGGGCGCTCACTCGCTGGGTGGCTTTCGATTTTCCTCGCTCAACAGTCTGGCTTGCTAACCACTGCAGTCACAGTGCGACAGAACGCTCGCGAAAGTTTAGTGCGTGGTTCTCGCTTAGCAGAGACCAAGGGTGTAATACCGTGCTTTGGATAGAGAAGCCCCTCACGAAAGCAGAGTGTGTATTGTTACAGAGCCGTGAGATCGGTCGAAGGTATTTTGCTCGCATAAGGGCGACCTTTTGATCTCCGTTCTCACTTGTACTGGCAACTCATCTCTTCATCCGTGGCACCGAAGATACTGAAGACAAGTGGCCGACGGCTTAAATATCGGACGGCGTCGCCGGTGAGGCGACATGTCGCGCGGTGGATGTAGATTCGGCCTTCTTCACGAGGTGAGTGTGCTTGCTTTAAAACAACGGCTTCCTTCCTCCTGCTGCTGACAATCCGTGAAAGTAAATCGAGAATTTTCCTTACTTTAATCTAAGTAATGTGTATTCACGTGCGCGCAACAACAAAAACCAAGTGTTTCTTAACGTGATCATTTTCCATTAGTGGCTTGGCCGCAGAGATCTGTGGGATCTATTAAAATCCAAGCCATGGGCAAGGTGAAAGACGTAAAAAGCTTGTGTCTTGATTCTTATTTTAATTCAAGTGAAGCCTATATGTTTAGTTTGTGTAGGCGTTTTCGTATAAAGAACACACATAGAATAGGACAAACAGGTTCGAGTACGAATGTCAATATCTACCTACGTTCGTTTTGCGTTGTAAGTCTCAATATCTCAACGCGTCTACCGGTGTTCGTTCTAATGGCTTCTAACTGAAAATAGCGCCGAAGTGAATTTGTACAGATGCCACGTATGCGCTTTATCAAGAAAGGGTTGCGAGTTTTGTGAGCTAGGCCTATTGCTGGTCTATAGAAGGTGCTATAGAGCATCACTGCAAATGCGTTTTCCTACCATTTGTTGAATTTGTTTTTGTAGAAGCAATGAGGAAGGAACTGCATTAGCCTAGTTACGACACAATAGGGATAGGTTGTACCACGTTAGGTTTTGTTATTTCTGAAATGCACTGTAGTAGTAGTATCTACTTTTAAGACAATGGGACATAGAAACATTGACACGACCTCGAAAGCAACAAGATCGCTATATTTTGCGACTGCATTTAAAAGCCTTTAATATTACGCGCGAAAGAAGAATGGTGTTAGCTTTTAAGCTTCGCTATTACTGGACGTACTCGTCCTTGGCATACAGGCGCAAGAATTTTAAGTGACCGAGCATAACTTTTATCGCCTAAGGCCTAGTAAGGCAATACGCGCCAAGAGGACTTAGACCATGGGCAAAAAAGTGATTTACGTCATGGTCTACCTTTACTACTTCAAATGCTCTCTCTTCTCTGATTCAAGCTGTTTATTTCTGCATACGTACTTAAACCACCTCTCGAACACTCAATTATTGTCGATGATTTCGTAAAGAACGCTCGCAAAGCTCTATTAAATATTCTTCAATGTCCACCGAGTAGAGGCGTATAGTATCAGGTCGTTCAGCTTACAACGTAACAAACATCTATCTCATATTTCAAGATGGCGCTATTTTATAACGGTGCGACATCTAGCGACACTTTTTTTTTTTTGTATTTAAGATGCGCTCATACTATTTGAAATCTGAGACCGTCCATTCGGATTCCGTCACTCGAGCTTTTAGGAGACGGGATGAAGCAAGCTAGGGAAGATCTGAAAATTCGAGTAACTTACGAATATGGGTTCCATCTCGGAACTACAGCGATATAGACAATTCGCCGTATAAGTTTCGTATTTGGTGAAAGTTCTACTTCTGGAAACATCGTGAGCCGTTAGTTTAAAAGAAATCCGGAGCCACAATGGTTAGTAAGAAAATTAGTCTCGTGAAAAACCCCTTGCGAGGAAGAGCTGGGGAGCTGTGGTGGAAGTGATTCGCTTCAAAAAGCATACGCGTTAGCACTCAAGTTAAGCGTACGTAAGAATATCATACTTTAAATATTCAGTGAAAAAATTGCACAAATAGGTGCCACGTTGTTTAAGAGAGACCGAAACGCTTGTTAAAAATTGGAGGAGGTCATAAAAAGACTTTGCATCGAGCAAGAAGGATTAGTGAACAGAAGTATACACTTCTATTGCACGGCAACGCTTGGTGTTATACCTTAAGAATCATAGCGACAAAGATACAACTAGAGGCTTTCTGTCATCCGTCATACTCGCCAGACATTGCTTCCATATATTAACATGCTCAACAATTCCTTCATTGAAAAAATATTTTAACCTCAACGTAATGTCGAAATGAGGAACTTTTTAGACTCGTGTACCCCTACAGATTTCTACAGCAGCAGAATAAATAGGTCACCATCGAAATGGCAAAAGGTCATGGATAAAAATAAAAATAATAATAATAATAATGGTGCATTCTTGGATTGAAGATAAAACAGCTATCCTTCTGAGACAATATTAATGCTATCAAGGCAATGGTGGTCTCACGATACAATCATAATCCTTGGTATTGCAATAAATAAGCTATTGGTAAAATAGCTGGGACGTTTTTCACAGTAAGAAGTGCACTTTATTTCAGCATATAAAAATAAAATTACGCCTATTTCTCTTAAATAATCGCGTCTACTCCCCAAAAACAGGACACTACAAAGCTACCCTGGAGCCATCTGAAGTTGCCGTTTGAGACGAAGGAACCATAACTAAGCATGACGAAGTCGCATGTCCACTACAACGAAGCACAATCGCGTAAAGCATTTGCATCGCCTGGAACCAATAAGGAATTAACCACTCGCTGCGCTGCTGCTTCCCAGCCATTTCAAAAAAATTATTCTCAAAAAAAGTAGAGCCGATAATAAGATGATATATGCGGTAAATGAGTATCCCTTTTATTATGATACGCTGCTTGGTAGCGACCGTGTGGGAAGCCAGTGTTAACGACTGAAAAAGTCTCTAGCTTATTGCTGAGTATCGAACTAATTGGGTTATGGGCCCAACTTCCTATAGAGGACACCATAGCGACTGGAATTCTTCGAGCTGCGAAGAGATATCTTCGGTTTGCTTCTTGACAATATTTGCAGTAGAAATAATAATAAACGTAGCAACTAGTGTAAATCGCAAAATGCTATTTAGCGCTGTTAATTTTCGTTCAAAGTCGGCTATCCAACTAATATTTTTTAAGCTCTTGTTATTGTCGCTACTTATTTGTCTCGCTGAATTCAAACTCATCTGCTAGATGCGTTTAGGACCTTGACTAAGGCGCAGACGCTGCTAAAGCCTCTTCTAACCTCCGTCACGCTTCACGAAGTTCGACCCAGACCCAGGGTAGTGTGCGAATATGCAACGCTAGACCCAATACTCCTTATGACCTGAAAGTTCACATCAATGTCCTTGACCATGTGCCTAGAACAACTAATTTTCGCTCCATCCGTTGTAAACCGTTATCGCATATTCGACAAGTGGTGTTTTTCGAGACTGCACGCATTTTTCACGCGTATTATTATTACTAATTTTAAAAAATTGTGCAGAATTTCTACTCGGTATTTTTTTATCACCTTTGATTGATTTCGTTTTGAAAAAAAATAGATGAAAAACAACTCTCACGCACAAAAAACTCCTAAAGTATTCGCCGTCCATCAGTGGTCGATATCGATGTGTCCCATTCCAATAAAAGTCGCCCGTAAAACCAAACGAAACAATAATGCTTCAGTATTAGTCAGTATAACATGTCACAGAGTAGTCCTTACTAATCAAATCTCCGCTAGCAAACTGCGTTGCTATCATTTCGAGCATCTTTGCGCCATATTTTATTTCAGTTTACCCGTAAGAAATCCACGAGATATAATTATCTTTCTTTTTAACACTAGTAAATATCATGTCTTGTTCTGAAGCGTTCCTGTCTTATAATAAGGTTATTTGTGCGGACTGTTTGCAGTGAATTCCGCGGGTATACGAAGAGGAAACGAATAAATGGGCTTATTCATTGTATTCAACTAGTAGACCGAAAAACAGTGCTTGATAAAACTAGGGACTATTAAAACAAAATATCGGCCTTGATGATACTTCACTCGAGTTAAGTAATGCTGGAATAAATTGCGGAGGTAGGCGCAGTATGGCTGGGACTTGTAGAAGGACTGATCCGCCGAAAAATCGTGACTTAATCGCGAGTAATTGCGATATTTTTTAAAAATTAATTTACTTTACGTCTTGTGGGTAAATTTCTATAGATCAAGTTGCAAACACCATGGAATAGTTCTCTTTGGCCAACCCAAATGAACACTAAAATAGAAGGCCTGATGTTGTTTTATTATGAAAAGCAGCTTCAAAAAATTACATTTCAATAATAAGTGTATGATCATACGGTCGTTAACATCTTGGTACAAGTGAAGTTTACTTAATCTTCCAAAAAAACGGTTACAAGTTAATCGGGGAAACGCGCACGCGCGAGTTCTACGCCACTGGAACACTGGACGAATCCTTTATTTATTCTTGTATAATTCTTTAATATCGAATATTTCATGTTTCTTTTTCTTTAATGCTTTAATGCTGCTAAATAAAGATAATGTCCTGAACCAGGACCGTTTTAGGGGTATCTCTTCGGCAGAGTTTTTAACTGGATCAAGTCAAAGGCTCTTTTTGCTCGGGCCGCGTGTCCAGCATTATTTTATTGGCTCCTCTTAATAATAAGCATAAAAAAAAACATAACATTACTTTAATTTGCTCGCCCAAAAAAAAAAAAGGAATAAAATGAAAGAGTTCCGGCCTGTAAATCCATAGTCTCTCTATGTCTATATAGAGGTTTTCTTGCGTTAGGTCATCTATGAAAGCTGTCTAAGTATTAAGCAAATGTATCTATATGCGCACATTGTACTACTGGGTCCTCGAACTACCATTTTTTATAAGACGCTCATTTTAAGACTGCGTAAGTAGTGAAGTGTGATTGTACAACTTTAATGGATTAAACTTCACTCCAGTTGAAATCGTTTCGCCTTGACCAAAACACGTTTGAATACAAAATACGCGTATGATGTTACTGAAACTTAAGGTCGTCTCATAGCTTCAAGCAAGAAATAAACCTAAAGTAGAACTTTTGCATTGCAACCTACCCAAGGAGTAACGTCCATCGGAAATCATTGCATTGCAATCACACACTCACTTAATTGGAACCCATTATTATGTTGAGGGAAAAACCTTAGACGTTTGGGCTGCATAGGTGCGCAGCACGTCTACATTAAGATTGTGCTATGGTTTTGTTGCCTCAAAACACAACCATTTCTCTCCGCAACAAAGGAGTTACCAGAGTATCAGGGAACTTCCAGTAACACGCATGTTAATTGTGCAAAGCACATAAAATCCCCAGCCGGACCAATGTAACAATAGCGGCTATATTATGTACGAATAAATAGAGTAATACAGCTTTACCTTGTTTCCCCTCAATGTAAAATACTACTAATGCGTTCTTCAATCATATTCACTAAGCGGACTTAGATATTTTCTAAAGTCGCCAAGCATGGCTCAGCTAGTTGCCAACTTCTAATTCTTAACTTACCTCGGCTATATTGTCATAAGCATGGTATAAAGTTAGGTTCGTGTAATCTATGTTTCGTCGCATGAAGCTGAGTTGTTTTGTTGCACCTTTCGCGCTGACCAACTGGCATTCAGGAGTTCCGCTGTTGTGGGATCATCTGTAACTTCCGAGCTCAGCATTCGACGTTGCATTGAAAAAATATATGTGATGGCCTAGTGGGTGACGTAATTGTAGGGACACGTTGTGGCCTAAATTCAAACTGAGGCATAGACACAGTTCGTTGAGTACCGGGTGAGTGCCGGCCGTGTGGTAGAATGCCTAACAGCGATACGGGACGTAAAACTAGAAACACGGAGACTAGTAGCGGCTCAGCATCGGGTGGCCTTTCGACTCACCCATGAAAAGACATCTGTGACAAGATGGGGACATATACCAGGAAAACGCACACTTTATCCTTAGCAGCCATCTAAACAGACAGATCTCGGGCAGATGATGTAGTATAAAGTTTTACCTAGTAAGTGAAACCGCTGAAAACCAGCTGGCAAAAGCAAATGGTGAATTTTCATCAACATTGCTGCGTGTTCAGTAGCTGGCAGTTCTATGAAGCGTCTGTTGTGTGGAATGACTGAGCATCGCTTTCCCTTAGCTGTTATAGTGTTTTGTTATTAATTTGTTATACTAAGGTTAGGAGGAATATCTCTCTTTTTACAACATAAGTTCTTTCTCAGACGCTCATTTAAGCCTATTAAAAATAATAAACGAGCCATGCACAAAGGTATGTTGGAGTTCACCTCTAAATAGCTGCAAATATGCAGACGGTGTCTGAGATTGGGAGAGTACAATTTCTTACGAATATTAATACACCTTATACTGGGGAACGGGGGAAGGCGGTAGGATAAGTCGAGACGAGCGCGCCCTTGTATGCCGCTGTAACCTGATCAAAGATTGACAAAGGACAAGTTGGGTCGGATTTTTGTACAGCCGTTCGTTCTCAATAATGTTTAGGATTTTCAATCGGTCGGCGAGGCGAGATAAATTGTTTATTAGACAATAACGTACGTGATTGTATTCTTGTAAATTATACATATGCTATGGGATTTTGCATGTTCTTTCCGACTGCACGACGCGTGGCGCCTTTTGTGGCTCTTATCGAACGTGGGGTTAAAAGCGAATCTTGGCACAGAATATTCAATTTGTTTATCGTTATCGGCCTTCTGGAAAGTACATTCTAGTGTAATGTTCTAAATACAGAAAACGTTTAATCCAAAGTAGACATATGTGTATGAGGCTTTCATTTGATTTAGCTCTATTCTCATAACTATTGCAGGCGCGGCGGACGGTGCTATGTGAGGCCTTCGTTCGTAACGCGTTATGCGTCTGTGTGCTGTCAGCATTTGTCTTCTCAATCGTATTCGGCGATGGCTTTGTCATGACCGCCGGCGTGTTTAAGAAAGATAAGAAGACTGGACGAATGCCGAACAGAGGATTCGTCGTTGACTGCTTGACAAAATGCGAAAAGTCTGAGAATTGTCACTGTGTCAGGTTTGTGCTACCACACAGAAATAATAACCGTGTATTTACTGCGTTTTTTTTTTTATAGTTGATCTGCAAAGCTCTCATACAGGTAATAATTTCAACAACGAATATAAGCCTGCCTATCGGCCTATCTCAATGAACTCAAGACTAGAATCCAGTCAAAGCACCAATGCCTATAGGACAAAGTTACACTGACATAATAACATATGTGACGCAATTCTCTATTACATTTTTAGAGCCGTGAAGATGAAGAGATAGGAGGCGTTTTTGGGTTTAACTATATTAATTTCAAACGATTAGAAGAAATTTACTCTATATCCAATCCATTTAGTCGATTTAGACGTCGCATAGATATCGATAACCGTAATGGTGTCAGAGGGTTAGTTGTTTCGATCAGCTATTTTACTATCTGGCGTTCAATATAGCTGGAGAAAACTAGCATTTCTTGTATTTTCGTATAGTGGTTTTCAATAAGCAGTAATTTGTAAATGATTTCTGGATTAGTCGTCACCTATCCTCCTGCGATCCCTTGAAAACTTGTTCTGTTCGCCCGAGGCCGCATTTTTCGTTCTGCGAGTATCAATTCGAGCTGTCTGTCAATGCTGGTGCCACTAATGGGCAACTCTGTTGGGGTGTCCGTACACGCGGAACCGCCCCAGCAAGGGGATTATTACCCCACATACGTTGATCGAGCAACACGATGCTCAGGGTGCGATGAATACGCCGTTAGATTACCTTCATGACCAAAGCTAAAATTTAATAATCGTATGAACTCGTCAAGCTGGGGTTAAATTGCAATTTTGTTATTTATTTATAATTCCTAATAACTACAGATTTTATTATAATGCAGAAGTTACAAGCTCTTACCAGTAAAAGCATGTACACCGAAGATATCGAATCACTAACGCAATGTCCAGGCACAGTTTTAGACATACAACGAAAAGCATTTCAGTGTCTAATTGGCAACTGTAACATTACTAGGTCAAAGTGTGGGCCATTGTTACCGTTATTATCATTGTTATAATAAGCTGACTTAAGTAAAAGAGATGCGTTTACGTGAACTCGTTTTAAATGAACGACGATATATTACCCCGGATGGTGGTTGCATTGGCATTATTATTATATAGCTATATACTATATATATATATTATATAGTAAGTAAAAACACTTGTAGACTAAAGACTATATCACACGAAAACAACAGTGGTTGTACGTAATCTGGGAACCTGTAAGTATTTGTGATGTACAACGAAAAAACGCTTGAGGAGCTACTTATATGAGAATATTTATTTCAGCTTTGTTTTTCTAAAATATTTTACGTAACATCTAGCAGTTGTTCATTCTATATAACGATCCGCTATACAGCTTTAAATCTGTATAATTTATGACTTGCTGTGTGTATGGATAGTACTGTGCTTAACTAGAATATCGTCGAGTACAGCGCAGCGGCGACGGGAAATTTAATAAAGGATCTGATGCGAAGTTTAGCACTAGAAAAGTAAAAACAAGCCTCATATGAACGTTGATGCATCAGACGTAGCCAGTAAATAGATGAGGCGGCTCATGTTAGCATCAGCCGCTCCTGAAATGGAAAGTTAGGACGTCTTTTTTTGCCCCAAGCTACTTATAAGACAATTGACTTTCGAAAGGATCAAAGGTCCGTACCAGTAGAATAAAGCTGTTTTCAGAAAGCTTCTAATCTGAGTAGACAATCCAGCATTGGAATTAAGTATCAAGCTAAGGCTTCTTGGTTGGTTCCAAGCCTTATATGAACAAAAGTTTCACCAAAATCAAGAGACACAGCCAAATTGTGTGGATACGACCAGCAATTAGGCCAAAGACTTATTTTCCATGTTTTTCATTAAGTTAGTATAGCCATCTAGCCGACCAGATGTATTAGTTAGACGTAGCTGATCAGCAGGCAACTCAGAGAAGCCATTCTCATAAGAAAAAACAATCGATGCTTAAATTAATTTGTCATACTGAAATAAACACTAGCGAAGAACCCCTGCGTTACATTATTGTTGATTAGTATAAAAGCTGACACTTAGCCGAAGATGTGGATCAGAAGGCGAGCTTTATGTCACGTCATAGTACTCAGTAATACTCACTAATTCAGGTCATCATATACAGATTCTGTATAATTGTAACTATTTCAGCTTGCTGCTGGTATGTTAAGCTGTCTGCCAGTGCCAGTCAGCGTCTTATTATACCGAAATGGTTATTTACAGACGCCGCTAAAAAAGATTCATTATGCAGGATCGAACATCGAACTCTTGGAGGTCTAAACTTTTGATAGTGGTTTTCCGTTACTATCGTATTGTTTTGTTTTTTTCAGACGATTCACTTAGTTCTTGCATCGTTTGATCAACGAAAAGTTCAAACCATGGATATAATTCGGATACATCTTTATTATGTTAGAAGCACATTACATCGTTTTTGGGCAATCAAATCCTGATGGATAGGGTCGACTGGAGAAGTGTTTGCAGCCAAAGTCATAAGCAATGTTTCAGACGACCCGTAAAATAAGTGCCCTGTCATTATCTCATTGACACAAATTCGCCTATCATGAACGTATTTCTATTGCATCGGAATCATTGTAGCCGATCATTTCTGGTGGCACCTATTACCGAAATCAATAATATCAAAATCACGGTCTTGGGATAGTCTTGCTGGTAAACGCATGCGATCCTTCGAAGAACTTCTACTCTGGTCGAGTTTTCACGTCAGTTTTCTTTTGAAGCCTTCCTTTTATCAAGCAAGTTGCATGTATAGCTCATAATCACAATACCGTCAAAGGACAATGCAACGATATCTATAGGAAACCGACAAACATATCGTTGAGCAGGCGACGTTATCGGCTTTCGGTTTTAGAGCACAAAAGACATTAAAAGCACTTTCAGTGTCTAATCAAAATTATTTTCTTGTCCTTTTAGGTTATAAGTCACTGTGGGACGACTTTTTTTCGCTTCTGTGGGTGCCGTTATTTCTGCTTATTAGTATTTAGTTAATTTGTAGTTTTTGACGCTTTTTGGTAGCCATGTGCATTTGCTTGCAGTTGCTGTTTACTTGACTGATAGGACCATGAATACGTACGCTAAAAACAGGACACTTAGGCCCTGAAAGGTACCAATCCACATACCCAGCAGTCGCCGAGAGCCTTAGCATTTAATATGAGCAACTTTTCAGAAGAGAGATAAAACTCGCGATCACAAGTGAACGATAATTTTAGACGAGTCGGACCAATATATTACTAGAAACTATGAGCAAGTTCAGTTGCAAGATGTACTTTCAACATGCATATATTTGAACATTAGCGAAATCGTTGCAATACACCGAAACATGCAGACGATCGGGATTTTTTAGCACGGCTAGAGCTGAAACGAACTTGTAAACATTAAAGAACGCAGCTCCATATGCAGCTTGTAGCTTTACAAATAAATTAACTATCTTTACCTATCTTTATTAATTCCTGCCTTGAAATTTAGCTGCAAATTTACATACAAAATAACTAATAATGAAAGTTTCATGTTTTACATCCGGTGTTTAAGCCGTTGGCCATTCATTGCTTCAAACAATAAAAAAAAATGAAATATTATTACATGCGAGCGAAACTAATAAGCTTCTCTCACTTACCCGCTAGTCTTAGTCATTCCAGTTATATGACGAACTCTATGATCTCCCTGAAATGTAGGATATTCTAGTTTTATGAAAAAATTACATAGCTCTTCATGGAACCTGTTGTTGTAATGCGGTGCTTTCGAAAAGAACTAACAATCAGACGTTTGTTACATACGGAGATTTATTAGAAAGGCTAGCAGGCGACCTCTAATCTTTTGCCTTCAACTTGCCGCTTGATATTAAACGAGTGTCTATGTAGTAGAGATGCAACAGAATAGCCTGCTTGTGATTCGTGTCGCGTTCATCCGCGTGCAGACTCTGCGAAAGCCGGCATTTCTAGCATACGACGTTGGTTTTGGGTATCCCGGAAAAGCAGTTCAACAAATTTCGCTTATAATCGTTCCATTTACAAGGACTACACTTGCAGTATCCTAATTGCGCCGAATTTGGTGAAGGTAAAGACAGCATAGGAACTTCGGCAAAATTTTGCTATATAAAGCAGCCCAGTTTACACGAGTAGGTATACCACGAAAATCTGTCTTTCAAATTTTAAACTGCTATGTGTGTTTTCTATGATCGGTCGGCATTTTCTGCTTGAAGTCGCACGACTTTTTCCAGCAGCCAAAAATTGACTTAAAGCGTATAGTGGGCCTATTGACTAGTTTTTGAGCCGACAGGTACGCGTTCGACCGTTTTGGAGTTTCGGCACGGAAAACTATAGCCATATATCTTGACTGGACAAAAAGTTTCCCATATGCTACTGGCTCAGTGTCATCACTCTCTCATACAGTGATAAAACTCAAGCCACAGCCGACGATTAATAACACAAGTTCCAATATGCAAAAAGGGTTCGTTACTTACAAGGATTTCCACGAAACTTAAGGACGTTCAGATTTTAGACTTCTAAGCAAGTTCGAAATGAAACCGATGACACGGCAGTGACGTAGTAATCATTTAACGCGATAGAACCCTAAACAACGTCAAGACATTGTAGAATTCCACTTGCTATATACAGACCATTTGTAAAATAAACAAGTTTATATTATATAATGTAAAATACGGTCGTAGAGATCGCGTGATTATACGCGTATTCATCTCATACGCCATTGTTCGTTCTGTGAAAATTTCAGAATGTCAAATCGGAAGGACAAGCCTATGTGCGACCTGATGAACCCGTTCCCGTACGGCAAGCCTCTGTCACCAAAAGGATTTGTTTACTTTGCATCGGTAAACAAAACATTTTGACAAGAGCTTGTATTACATTTATTTATAGGGATTATTTATTTAATTTATTCGATCACGAGTAAACAAGCGTTATCTTGACAGTTTTGATGAAGTCACCGCTGCGATTTAATTAAGTGGAATCGAAGGACGCAAAACTGTCACTGCAGTAGCCCGGCTCTAGTGGTAAATTTATTGAAACGGTATATTAATTAAACAGTGCAAAATATTCCAGCAAAGGATTCACAATTCTAACTTAAATACCTTCACGAGCTGTGAGGGGAGGCACTCCAAGATATTTAATTCAATAATGTTATTATTGTTACTTTGATGATAAATAATAAAAAATATTAAATGGAATAACCTTATTTTTTCCAGAATAAATATTACGAAACTCTATACAATGGTATGTATAATCCATTATATATCTGTTATTCTTTATGTTAAGCGAAACCTGCCAAACAAAACCAAGTTTAGCAATATATATACCATACTTATAAATCTACTCGTAAATGATGTCGTAGTTACTCTTTACGCCTTTCTATCTCTAGTTTTAGTCTTACAATATTCGAATGTACAGTGCTCGGTTTTTCATGATATCTCAAGTCGAAACCTTAAACATACATCCAAGTAACTTTTCCATCAATTGCTAGTTTTCCTGAGGCCAGCCGCTATGCAAGCTCATTGCATTAGATCTTCTACGATACTTCTAAAACCTGAGTTACTGACCAGGAACTGGCTTCTCTACGTACTGGAACTCTAACGCATTGAAAATTGATTCTCCAGATAATATTTTCCATTATAAACGTAGGCTCACAAAGAGGTTTCGGTATTTATAAAACAAATAATAATAACACAATATCATTATGCGGTGTAGATTCTGTAATATACTCGAGCCGTAACCTACCGATATTATACATGGACAAATGGTTTATTTTTCATTTGTTTAAAATGAACTTTTTTTCGCCGGCAATATGGTAGACAATCTTGCCCTTTTGTGAGGCAGATTTAATGTTATGATGATGAAAATAAACCACAAACGCACTCACCGTTATGGGAAATCAATCAAATATGCCGCTGGCGGCGTCGAGTAAATATGGCCGCCGCTGGTTCAACCCGCACCGCCAAATTGGCGGGTCGATAATACTACAGATAAATTAATTTATTACATATATATATGCCATACACCTGCTGAAGACTATCTGCTGAGACCGACGCTCAAGACTTTGGCGGGTAAAGTGAATCGTCTCGCTGGCTGTACTACCCTATCCAAATGCAGTTCGATAATGCTTTTGGCCCTTTTGAGTCCATGTATGGATTTTGCTGGCTGTCTGTCTGTCTCCGTATAACGGGTCTTAGAGTTTCAAAGCTGCCCATTAGTATCGTCCACTTAAATACACACTTCGTTCCCATTACAACGTCCAACTATTCAAGTAACTTACGCCTTTTTCTTCAGTAACACCCTTTTTATTATTATAATAAGTATATGTAGATCACTTTAGTGACCGTACTCGTATAATATTAAGAAAAGGTAATTTGGAACGTTTATTTAAATGTTAACGTCAATCTAGTTAATGAAGCAGTCACCCGGCGCCCACTGCCATAGTAGTCTGCACCTACACAAATCAAAGTATTTACAATTATTTGCGCCATTTGGCTAACGAAAAGCTTCAGTTCAACAACGTATATGGTTAAATTGCGTACTGCATAAATTTCTATTCAATCTCTGTACCCCCTTCCAATTTGAACTTACCATTGTTCCCGTTAGATAAAAATCTAAATCGATCTCTGTTGTCTTTCCTTGAAACTAACTAACAGACTCGTCACATAAAAAGGCTCGAGAATTTCGAACTAGCTTTTAATTTGTGGAATAGACAAAAAGTCATTAGTTAATACGTTCACAGAGCATCTATGTGCCAGAATATGTAATCCTAATATCCGCTTTAAGAAGGCAGTATCATTCGAACTAGTATTTGTAAGTTAGGAACTCTGAGTTCTTGTAATAATTCAGTGTCGTACACCGCAATTGCTACTACTTTCATATCTAGTTAGACCAAGGTCTGTACGACAACTGGCAAAGCAGCCAAAATCTCCAAGGTAAAACCTGATGATGCTCCTGAATAGCACGAGGTCGTCTACGCACGGGTGACCTTTGCGGCAGGATAACGTCTTTGCATAAGTTTAGGCGGATCGGCTGATGGAATGCATCGGAAACGCTGATGCATGCAGGTTATTGTCCTGAGAAGAACCTATCGTCTGCTCTGTACTAGAATTCTCTTTGCTTTCCTCTTCGATTACTATCTAATTGGATTTCCGTATATCGTCACGAACCATAGTAGATGTTCTGGTATCCTGATTGCATTAACTTTAAAAGAACAAGCGAATGACGTGAGCTTACTCACCAGCAGGCTAACTAATAATTCATACACGCAACATTTCTTACCAATGACTCATCATGAGGCAGAATCTATCCAGACTCCTTTCTTCTTCAGGCTAAGCCTCGTAATATACAGCCTCCGCTATATAATGGTAACGGGGGCAAAATATGTACTGTTATTGAGCTCATTATTAGGAGATAACATGTTTCAAACGTGCGATTAATACTCAGCCGTTTTCCCTCATCCTCATTATTCATTCAACTTAAATCAAAATCGTTCTTTCCGCAAAAAAATTATGCTTTAGTCGCAATGTGCTATATTGTATCCCTTTGATTGACAACAGTCGCACATCTGTCATAACTACTCATCAAACTTACGACCATGCCCTGTTATATAGTGTCGGCGGTTAACTATGCCTTGAGAAAGAAGGCTTCTCAGAGTTCAGTTTACGAATTGTACGGGATCCAATACACTCCCGAAAAAGCTGTTGATGGGTCCCACAACACTGATGGCCTAAAACCGCCGTATTTTGCCCATACGCAAGACTCCATGTGGGCGGAGCTCAACCCCTGGTGGCAGGTAAGAAAATAACAAAGCTGTAAGATACCTAGCTATGCCAAACATCTTATTTGTATGAACACATGCACTTGCAATTATATAGATAAATACTGAGTACCGAAAGGACAGTGGACCGGGATTAGTTTTTAACACGGATTTTTCCGAAATAGCATACGTAAAAGAATTTCGTACGTTTAAATTAATAGGTCTTCCTTCTATGTTATTTTTGCATTGGTTGTACATTTCCAACAAGACACACTATGGACACATGTTTGTATGCTAGCCTCATAACAGACTTTTTCGTTGAAATGTTAGCGAAGATCTAAATAGCTTATAAAAGAACCATGCTTATTGGCAACGGACAAAAGGCGGAAAAGGTCTTATAGACACAGGCGTTCCGATAGTAGCAAAACTTACATTTGACAATCATTTACTTCAGATATTTGCTTGTGCCCTACACGCTAGATATCGCGCGCCGCTATGTGTATTCTTAAAGTACCCACATCGCTACGAATACGGACCGCACGTTGAGAGTCAATTGTGCAAGCGTTCTAATACCGCTAACGTTTTCTGAATCGCGCAACCTCGGTGTTGCTGATGATGCAAAGAATGATCCGGGTCAGTTTACTCGTTGTCAAAATATTCTGCGCTGAGTTTCGCATTTTGGCAAATCCTTTACTTGCACATGTATAATATTTCCGCAAGCGAGGGTTCCCAGATTACCCCTGCATGAGTAAACATTTTTCTCCGAACGATGTTCCCCATCCTGGATAGCTGTGACGACAAGCTAAAAACAACATAAGCTTGGTTGATTTTGGGATCTCAGGACAAAAATAACTCTTTTGAAACTGTGTGAGGACTTACGCCAATGAATTTTCCATCCTCTCCTCAGCACTTTGATAAAAATCGCGACCAACTCATATGTTGGTGCGTTAATAATGACTCAGGGAGACCGGTATCGCTTTGAGGATTTAGGGCTACGAATAGAATGGCAATTTCAGAATGCTACCCACCCGACGGTAACGAGTTTGCTGAGGGACGTTACACGAAATGTACCGACCCAGTCAACCCCTTGATTTTTTATTCAAATGGTAGCTTCAATTAATGTGATATTGTTCGTTTTAACCGCGCTTTTTTCGATTCATTTTAACTGTAGTCGTTTAAATATTTCACTCTTATTTCCAATGCTCTGCAAGAAGAAGAAGAAGAAGAAGAAGAAGGGCTCAAGATTAGCCCCCTGAGGGAACCGTATAAAAGGCTTGTACCTAAAGTTGTTCCAAACGCTCTCAGCCTCGAAATCGTGTTACACGTGAGCCGATCAAGCAGAAGGCCTGCTAGTGATTTCAGGAATCCCTTTATGTTGTCATCTTACTGCGAGAACTTATTGAA